TATAAAGATAACCTATTTGACAAAAATAGTAACAAAAAAGTCAACCAGCATTTATTGCATTTTATTTTTGACAATTTTTTTTTAATTTTATTTTTAGATTATTCTAAAAAATAGATCTGTTATATATGCATACTAAATTCATGAGTTTTATGGATTTAATTTAGGTAAATTTTGACTGATGCTTACAATTTTGCAAAAGTCAAACTTCTTCTAATTTTTTATTAAAAAAGAACTGATTACCATAAAATCGAGAATTTCCCATATATCCTTTCCTAATTGCAACACATCAACTATTTATAAAAAAAATCGCATTGCATAGAAATCGAGTTAATTGAGGTAAAATTTGGCATGACAATTTTGTAAAAGTCAAAATTCTCTCATTTTTTTATTAAAAAAATCTGTTTACCATAAAATCGAGAATTTCGAATTAGGAAAAATAGGTTATGTATTTTTACCTAATTGCAACTAATCATGTTTATTAAAAAAATCGGATTGCATAAAAATGAGGTTCAAGTTCAAATTGAAAATTAAAATTTAAAAATTCCTTATCATTTGGCTACTACTTTCTTTAGTTCGGATTTTTTTTTTTTTTTAAAAAACATGAAACGCTGTCAGATAATGTTAATTTTAAATTCAAAATGAATTCGGACTAGAATATCCTAAAATTTTTAATCATCTAGAATTTAAATTTGAAGTTGATTGCATACACTTACACAATTTTTTCATTCCTTAAGTTAAATAATTTACAATTTTAAAATAATAAGGCTATAGATCATCAAGAAAAACGTTTTACAATCTCTGTTATATTTGACTATCCAATGCGGTAGACGATGTACCAAAAGACCAAATGTTGCGTATAAGGATGTGTTTAATAATATATAAATTACATTTTGTTTTATTCTAATACATACGTTTTACATTCTTCCAATCATCCAATCATCCAAATCTAAACGCTTACTTTAATAAAGTTTGACTATTAATTCAATTATGTCCATCTAACTATATGGTCTAATATAAAATATAGAGATTCCGTCAGTGTAACAAAGATTCCGCCAGTGTTTGTTACCGTAGATTATCTACACTACATATCTACATGTGTATCTTACTAGAATATAATACCACTTGTGAGTTGTCCCACACCATTTATAAAAGAAAAATAATCCTAACATACAAGCCTAGTGGACTATTATTCTTTCTACCAATTGGTTTTAGGATGAAACCTCACTTGGACTTCATCTGGGCTTACCCTGTTATGGGGCGCTTCCTGTGCGTGGGACCACGGTAGAAAATGCTGACGAAATCGTCTCGTTTCTTCCCGTAACTCCCGTTTCTTATATATCCAATTCAAGTAAAAAACGCTGACGGAACCATCTCATTTCTTACATATCAACGGTAACGATTATGACTTACTCCCAATTGCGCCCTTATTTTTTTTGCTAGTCCCCAACTCTCCCATCCTCCATTCGGATTATTTCATCCTACCTCATGGGAGTTTTTTTTTTAACCACAAATTTGCACCCTTAGAAACGGGCGGGATGAAGTTTGAACTTGACAAAATGTAAAGGAGCACATAAAACAAATCCAATGAAAAGGAGAAAAGAAAAGCAGCCACTGACGATGAGGGGTGACAATCAGTAAGCAGTGACGGTGAATACACACAGTTTTCTGGTGATTTCACATGCGCTTTCTTAACGTACGTACGAGAGAGACATAATCGAGGGACACAAAAGGCAAAATTATTCCTAACAAAAATAAAATGAAAAAAGAAGTAAAAGGAAAGAGATAAGGGACAACAATGTTATTGGCGGTGGGCCCCACGGCACAACCATATAACTGCGCTCCGCTGGATTGCGAATGCTGCTGCAGTGCACAGCAGTACACACGCTAAAAAATTTCCACTGGTCAAATAAACCTCTGTCATCACTGCCTTTCCTCCTCTTTCCGAGCGATATTTATTGCCTTTTAATTTAATTCGCTGCCCTTATTTTGCTTCTTTTCTTGTTGGGTTCTGTCTACTCTCATCACAACAGCAGAAAATATTCAAGAAAGGCTTTACTTTTCCCCCATCTCTCTCTCTCTCTCTCTCTCAGCTTGGCCCAGGTGCCTGGTAATGTTCTTGAGTCTTGCTTTTCTTTTCTTTTGCTAATTAATCGTTTTAAAGTGTGCTTCGTATGACCGTGTGTGTGTGTGTGGATATGTGAGCTTGAGTGGCTTCATTCTTTTTTTGTTTTAATTTATAAAAAATGTGACTTTTGATTTTCTGTGTTGGTATTTTGTTGTGCTGAAATGGGTTTGTGGATTGTGTGGCTGATGATGATTAAAGGTTGTTGCTTTTTTTTTTTTTTT